TTAGCAGTTGAGAAAAATTCCTTTCTAGTTTGATCAATCCTTGTTTTCCTCGGCAGAGCCGAGGCGCCCGCCCAGCTCGGAGACGGAGAGCGGGGTCTCCTCGCGGCGGGGGCGCCGGGCGCCGGGCCTCCCGGGAGCGCAGAAGTAGCGACGAGGGGGTCAGGCCGGAGCACCGCCGGGGCTTCTCCTCCTCCCTTTCTGGTTGGCTTTTTTTTCCACTTCTCTCCCTCCCCCTTCCGTTTCTATTTGTGAAGGGAGGAGGAAGGCAGAGGCGGGCTGGTGTCTCTGGCCGGGGACTGGAATTTCATCTGAATGACTGCCCCTGCGCGCACGCAGCGCCCCGGAGTCGGCCAGCCTGCGCCCCGCAGCCCCAACCCGCTCACAGCGGGCCAGCCGGGGGGCGCCCGCGCCAGGGCCCAGGGACCGCCGGCTCGCCTCGCCCGCCCAGTCCGGATCTAGCCACCCTCGGCGCGGCCGCTCTCGCTTCCCCCGCCTCTTGGACCCCGGACGCGGCAAAGGAGGCGCGGCGCCGGCGAGCCCGGAGGGAGCCACCATTGCCGCCGCCGTCGCCAGAGGAAGTGTGCGGCTCCGGGGCTCTGTCCGCTGTGGGGCGCGCCCCAATGTCAGCCGCCGGGCCGAGCGCAGGCCGCGGGCCGCCGCTGCCCTAGCCGCGCCGACTGGGAAGCGGCCTTTTATATGGAATTTGGACTCCGGCGCTCCCCTCCAGGGCTGGTGCCCCGGCCGGGGCCCTGGCGCAGGCCGCCGCCTCCCGCTAGGCGCTCGGGAGGAGGAGGAGACGCTGCCGGCTGCGCGAGCGGCGTGAGGACCGAGGCTTCCTCCTCTGGGGGGCGGGCGCGCGGAAGGCGCTGGTGACTGAGCGACTGTCGGGGCCGTCTGGGGCCAGAGCGCCTGGCTCCGTGGCCTACAACTGCACCGGACGGACCCCCAGGATTGGGCAGTCGGGGAGGCCGGCCCCGGCCCCCTGCCCTTGGCCGTCATGGCGGAGAATTGGAAGAACTGCTTCGAGGAGGAGCTCATCTGCCCCATCTGCCTGCATGTCTTCGTGGAGCCAGTGCAATTGCCGTGCAAACACAACTTCTGCCGGGGCTGCATTGGCGAGGCGTGGGCCAAGGACAGCGGCCTAGTGCGCTGCCCTGAGTGCAACCAGGCCTACAACCAGAAGCCAGGCCTGGAGAAGAACCTGAAGCTCACCAACATCGTGGAGAAGTTCAACGCCCTGCACGTGGAGAAGCCGCCGACGGCACTGCACTGCGTGTTCTGCCGCCGCGGCCCCCCGCTGCCCGCGCAGAAGGTCTGCCTGCGCTGCGAGGCGCCCTGCTGCCAGTCCCACGTGCAGACGCACCTGCAGCAGCCCTCCACCGCCCGCGGGCACCTCCTGGTGGAGGCGGACGACGTGCGGGCCTGGAGCTGCCCGCAGCACAACGCCTACCGCCTCTATCACTGCGAGGCCGAGCAGGTGGCCGTGTGCCAGTACTGCTGCTACTACAGCGGTGCGCATCAGGGACACTCGGTGTGCGACGTGGAGATCCGGAGGAATGAGATCCGGGCAAGTAGCCTTC